ATACTGAAGTACAAAGTCATGTTGGTTAACCGTAACGCTTTCCCCAATAATCCTGGGAATGGTAGTTTGATGAGGATTTGGTTAATAACCCACAGGCATCATCACAGTGGTTCCTTAGGAAGAAGAAACAGCTGTGAAACCAGTTTAAGACTGTTCATGTTGATAGGCCCAGAAAACCTTCACTGGTATCTTCTTCATCCACAATCCCAACCAAAGAAAAACCAGTTAAACCAGAATACTTCAATGTAAGTCTATTTGCAGTCTGGTTCTCTAATGAGGAGAGCTACTTGTGTGTGTGTGCAGCTTGCGCTTAGCATGAACATCCTTTTCACACCAATTTAGCACATGCTGGTAAAGTCGTTGGCAGCCACTTGTTCCTGCACACCCACATGGATGAGCAGGTCTCAATCCTTGCACTTGGTACACAGGAAGCTGTGCCCATCTAGCCCAGAACTGTCTATTTTGGCTGCTGATGGTTCTCCAATAGGGTATCCTTTCTGGGAGGAGGGACACCTCGTCCCAGTGTCCCAGCCCCAGTCCAGTGCAAAGATAGGTTGGATTGCCCAGTGACTTATTAAAGTTGGGAGCTGGGGTGCAAATGACTTAAATCCAAATGCTCTGGCTTAAGTGGTTGATGGAGACACAGGCCACGGTCTCAACAATAGCACAACCAAGGCATGTGCAAGCAATAGCAGCCCACTCTCCTGCTATGTTTGCATAGTTAACCATTTATTTTTTTTTTGCAATTTTGGGAGTTTCAAAAGTAGCTTTTGATATAGCCTGCTGTTTAAAGGGTACGAGGTGGCAGGGCGAAGGGGGAGAAGTTATGTGTGTGGGAAGTCTATATGCACCAAAAGTGTGGATTGTGGCTGGTTACCAAATGGCAATGAAATTGCATCCCCAGTGAGTAAAATCATGAAAGATAAGACAGAATGTTCCCTCCAGAATACTTTTTTTTAAAAAAGAACCACATTCCATTATCAGACACGACACATTTCAAATGCTCGTTAATTTACAGAAATTGCATTTTATAGAAAATATGATACAATGAAATATAAAATGCGCGAGGAGCACTTTCAAAGTCTATAGACAAAGGAGCTTGCATTCTGAGACAGTCTTTTAAAACAACATCCACTTGAATTACATTTCTCCTCGCTCTTTCCCCTCCCTTTTTCAACTTCCAAATGAGAATTAATTTGTAGATTGGAAAAAAGAAGGGGGGGAAGCAGGATCAGCCCCATCCCTCATGGATAATCCGATATCATTTCCCTAAAACTGTGCACATTCTTGGATTTAACAGAAATAATATCTAAGCTCTCCTACATTTTCTTCTTCCTCCTCCAACCTGCTGCAGCAGGACATCTTTCTTATTGTTTAACTCATAGATAATCCAAGATTTCATAGCACAATTAAGTGGCTCATAATCCATTAAATGTGGTTTTTACATTACACAGCCATGCAATCTAAATAATTGTACAAACATTAGACATAAACCTCACTAGTCCAAATCATTAAAGGGGAGAAAAAAAACTTTTGTTTAATTAAAGAAAGCACATAATCTAGATGGTTTTTTAAAAAATAAAAAATAAATACTGACCCTATTTAAAAACAAAAAGGTAGTATGCTACCATTGATAACAGTGAGGTCCCATCAGAATGCAGCAAATCAGTGGCTGAATTGTCACCATTTAAACACATTAATCACACGATACCTATTTATACCTCTGGCTCTCTGTTCTCATCCAATAGGCATTGGTTACACAACAAAGTACCTATTCATCAGGACAGACATGAGCTGGTTTACATATAGTTGCATCAAGCTGGCTCATGACATTCAAGAGATGCCCATGTTGTAGGCCCCAGATGGCATACTGGTGATCCCCAAAGCAATTTTGGTACCTGGTGGCCCAACCAAATTTTAATCAAGGGAGAAGCACACAGGTTGTATGACATATAGATAAGTCACACGCCAACATTTCATCTCTCTTTGGGTTTCACATGCAATGTCCCAACCATGCTCAAGTGGCAGGTCTTCATATCTGGGAAGCCTTCAATTCTACATGGAGCCAACTTCAATACAAAGCCTGATCACATGCGAGGGGCCAGTTTGTGTGTCAGAACACACTTTGCCTCCCAGATTACTGTCTGGAAAATAGCACCCCTTACGGATGCTGACCATCTCTGTAGGACAAAGGGCAAGTATTTAGTGGTTCTTCCCCAGAGAGCTGGGATGGAGAACTTGTGGCCCTCCCAGATGTTGCTGTGACTACAGTGCCTATCATCTGTGACTATTGGCAACGATGGCTGGGATTTGAAGGAGTTTAACAGCATATGGAGGGCCACACCTTCCCCATTCTGTTGTAGAGGCACAGAATGATACTAAAGACATCTCTCTTGGGGATATCATTAGGACGAATAACCCAGCACTGTATCCAATAGTTCTCAAAATGTGAAGCTGGCCACTCTATGGCGGTGCAGATTCTCGCCACAGGAAATGCAGTCTCTTTTTGGACTCCACCCAGTGGATATCATATGAATTATGAAGTGGTCTCATCATGAGTCAGCCTATGGCGTATTATCTATTCTGGCTGACAGCAGTTCTCCAGCTTGACGCATTTCCTAGGCATTTCTCTAGGCAAACTTCGAACGCCAGGGGCTGAACCAAGACCTTCTGTACGCAAAACAGGTTAATTATTACTGAGCTATGGCTTCTCAAGGTCTATGTTAGACTGAGAAAAATAATAGCTCACTACCATTCCTTTCAAATAATTGCAGAAAGGAATGCTGTAGTGCTTACTCTCTCTTAAGGATCAACAAGCATCTTCCCTCCTTCTGTGTGCTTTCCTGAGGGTCTTTATTGGACGTACTTACACTTCTTTCATTTTATTTTTCTGGTTTCTTCCCTGACTGAGGGCAAAGGAGGCTGTCTTAATTTTGTAGTAGGCCTGATCTGCCTGTTAGTTTTTCACATGATTATAGTTATTGCAACATAACTGTCTCCCATTGTTTTTATAACCTTAATCTTTTCTTAATGCTCCTCAGTACATGGCAAGAGCTGGTGCTTTCTATGTTCTGGAGAACATTAGTTCTAGTAGGCCTCAGGAGAACATGATCAATGCCAGAACACACCACGTGAGCTGTATTCAGAAGCAAAACTCATCATGTGGCAAATGCCTGTTGGATATAATTTTAGCACATACAAGCAGTTTTGAATTTGAGATTTGGACTGGGCTGACTATTCAAGCAGCCCAAAAGTTTGTCTGGGATAGCAAAGTTTTGTTGAGTACCAATATGTGCGAGCAGCTCAAGAGTCCTGGGCTCCATTACTTGGATCATGTGCAGTACAAGTGATTTGGGCAGAAATGCTTCTTGAACCAACCCTGACCAGCACCTCACGTTGTGGGGACTTAACTCTCCAAAACAAGGACCCTCTGAAGTACCTTCCTTTTGACAATGGAGCAACATACAAATAAATGGTCAGGTAAATACGCTAGATTAACTGCTATGCTCTTTCAGTCTGCGTGTGCTTTTAAAATTAAGTTCATTGGTTTTCCTTGCTGATTCATGGAACAGATTATGTGGGCGAGTATATCAGCTGACTTGACGCAATAAACCATAGACTAAAACCATTCCAGCCGGCAGGCCTAACTAGCCTCCTCCTTAAAAATCTCAAGAGAATAAATGGCGTAACCCTAGTAAGATAGTGGCTTTTGCTGGGTCTACTTCTGATGGCGAAAGAGCACGCAAACTATTTCAAGGGCCTCAAACACCTGCTTCTATTGGCACTGAAAACTGACCTATAGCAATGGCCCCCTATACTAAGTTTGCAACTCTTCAAAACAGAGATGGGCAATTTCTTCATTTGGGTACTCACTGATTTCCCGTCCACCAACCCACCTACCAAATGGCTTATATCTACATTTTGCTTGTGTTTAGCTCCACCTACCTGCTATGCTATGGAAAGGGTGGAAATTCTGGCCAACATCACACAGGCTTCGAAACAGGTAATCTGGGGCTGTGCACGATGCAACTCAATGCATTAGAGTTCATGTGGCTGAACAATGTATACGAGCCGCCCCCTTTTATAAGCTCCGGTGACAGAGCTTCCGCAGCCTCCCTAAAAGCATTTCTTCAGTTTGCCCACCGTTCTGCGTTCCGAACATTCGCTCAGAATTCCACATTCATCAGGGTGAACGTCTGATAAGAAACGTAGTACCTAACCACGGTGGATAGGATTCAGCAGGTGGAGGGAGCTTCAAAGAAAATAAAAGGAAGAAAAACAACTCCCACACACAAGCGGCCTTTGGTCTTGTCATCATTTACTGTTGGGCTTATGCAAGGTCTTTTGTGTCACACGCACCAAAGGCTAACCAATGCTATTGTTCTAGGAAGCTACATCACGTGTGACCAGGTCACAAAGAGAAAACCCAGGTCGATAGTTTGCATCGGCTAAACAATGAATTATATATACACAACAGGTTTACTCAGTTCACCATTTGCTTTAGGCCAAAAGATAGCAGTTTTCTTTTTTGTGTTTTTTTTTGTTTTAATTCAAAGCATCTTTCTTCCTTAGTTTCCCCCCCACCCCACAAACAACTTGCCCACTTTTTTTTTTTAAATAGCAAAAAGGCCCAAAAAGAGAAACCATTCCATAGTTCCTGGTTTTTGTTTTGTTAATTCCTTCCCAGCTAGAACTGGCATAGGGTCATATAGAGTGTGGTGTCCAAGACGGTGGAAACGTAAATTATTTTTGTTTGTTTCTTTTGAACACTCCTGAGATTGAGGGAATCTGATACGTGTACCAAAAGGCACTTTCAAATATATATGTCTGTATATATATTTTAAAAACAGTGCTTCTGTTCTAAGAAATTCAAGTTAAGACAGAGTGCCTTTCACTCCCTTTAGTCATAAAGTGGATAGACCAAGCAATATCCCTGCTGACACATCGGGAAAAAGAAAAACATTTTTTTTTGGGGGGGGGACAAAAAAACACACAACCGCAGCAGAGACGAGTGTTCATGCTAGACAGCTCGATGTTCTTTAAAAAAAAAAAGGGGGGGGGGAAGAGAGAGAAACAGAACTAAAGAAAAAAAAAGAGGAAAATAAACTTTCTAAGTCACCACTCAAAGGAATACAGTCAGCAGGAGATATTAATTTTAAAAAAGCTGCCACTTCTGTACAGTTCTTGTTTAGTCTGTTTTCACTCCTTTCTTCCTCAACACTGGGTTTCTTCTTTTACTTCATCATCATCATCATCATCTTCTAATGCTATAGCTTTCCTTTCTTTCTTCTTTCTTTCGTCCTTTTTCCTTTTGCAAAACAATAAAGTGAGGTCAGTTTAGTCGTCCTCGCCTCCCCCGTACATGTCCGCCAGTTTCTTGAACCTTGGCCCCCAGTCGTTAAGGTAGTCGTAATCTTGATCTCCGGAGCTCGAGGAGTTAAGCGAGCTGACGGACCCTGCTGTTGAACCACTGCCCTCATAGTCAAAGACAAGAAGGGAGTCGTACGGTGGGGCCGTTGGGTCATTATCTGCCGCTCTCAAGCCCTGGAATGTCAAAGGAGAAGAAGGAAGAGGTTACCTAGTGCCGGAAGCATCGCTTGTAGGAGCAACCTAAACGTGGCTCCATGGCGCAGAGCTTAACGCAGAAGGGTTGCAACCAACAAAGCCATCCCATCTCTATCAGGACTTCAGCCACCTTCGCGCCATTCATTTGAGGCAGTCACGTGCCACTTTAAGCAGCTGTGGCTTTCCCCTAAGGCATTCTGGGTACTGTAGTTTGTCAAAGGTGTGCTGAGACTTGTTAGAACAGGCATAGGCAAACTCCGGCCCTCCAGATGCTTGGGACTACAATTCCCATCATCCTTAGCTAACAGGACCAGTGGTCAAGGATGATGGGAATTGTAGTCCCAAACTTCTGGAGGGCTGGAGTTTGCCTATGCCTGTGTTAGAAGGCCCCTGTTCTCCTCACAGAGCTACAGTTCTCCAGAATCATTTAACAATAAATCCCTCTTCCCAAGGAGTTAGGGGAATCGTAGCTTCTGGGATGGGAATGGGTGTCTCCTAGCAACTGCCATGACCATTTAAAGTAGCATCATAGTGTTACTTTGCATGGTGTGTATGTTGGACCTCCCCTTGTGCAACAAAACTTCCCTTCCCTTGCCTCTCGCTGTGCTCCCCACCTAAATTAACTCTGGATGGTTGGGGAAACTCCCAGAAGAGATTTTGGGTTCAGGTGGGAGAGGAGAGGGAAGGAAAGTTCTGTTGTGCAAGAGGAACAGGATATTGGTTGGATAGAAACCTATGGCCACATCTCTACACTGCACATGTTTATGGTTTTTTTAAATAATAAAAAAAACAGTTTTACTGTCAGAGTGTCCCTTAAAGAATCGTGATAACTGTACCTTTGTGAGACTACCGTGGAGCCTTGGTTCTTGAATGGCTTAGTTGACGAAAAAATTGGCTCCCGAACGCTGCAAACCCGGAAGTAAGTGTTCTAGTTTTCAAATGTTTTTCGGAAGCCAATTGTCCAATGCAGTTGTCGGCTATTGTTTCTGGGGCGCCTGTGCCACTCGGAAGCCGCGACTTGGTTCGCGAATGTTTTGGAAGTCAAATGGACTTCCAGAATGGGTTGAGTTCAAGAACCAAGGTACCACTGTACTGATATTCCTAGCTTCTCTTGCAGAGTTACTGTTGCCAGGGTTTGCTGGTGGCAGCAAAGAGCCGTTAGACCAGTTTAAGACTGCAATGCATCGTATGCATACTTGCCTGTGAATAAGGCCCATTTAAAGGTGCTGGACTTACTTCCAAGTAAACATGCACGGGATCGTGCTGCATATACATGTAGCATCAATCCAACTGTACCTGCATGAAACCATGAATTTGGTTCTGTGCCGCTAAAACAGAAACCAACCTGCTGCACTTGTACGCCTGTGTGCGAGTGTGAGAGAGAGGAATAATTCATTCACGTTCTCATAAATCAAATTAGCAGATGCTAGTTTGGGCTACTTATTTGATGAAGATTCTCTCTCTCGTCCCCTGCTCTCTCAAAGGAGAGGGGATAAGCTCTGTAATCAGCCCTCTTTTACAAGAGTTGCACTTAAAATCAACATGCTATCTATTGCTACTATAGTTCCAGCATTAGAGGCACCATGAATACCAGTTGCTGAGAAGGACAAGTGCAGAGAGCACTATTAGGCTCACGTTTGGCTTGTGGGCTTCCATCCCGTACCTGGTTGGGCATGGGAAATAGGATCTTGGACTAGATGGGTCTCAACTAGGGCCAGGGCCTTTTCAGTACTGGCCCCGACTTGGTGGAACGCTCTGTCACAAGAGACTAGAGCCTTGCAGGACTTGACATCTTTCCGCAGGGCTGGCAAGACAGAGCTGTTCCACCTGGCCTTTGGTTTAGACTCAGTCTGACCCTTATGTTTCCCTCCCCTTATGGTCTTGATCTATGGGCTACTTTTAAAATGAGGCTGCATTTTAAATTGCATTTTAACCTGTATTTTAAATTGGTCCCGTCCCCCCATTATGTTTTTACTGTGATTTTATTGGTGTTAGCCGCCCTGAGCCTGGCTCTGGCTGGGGAGGGCAGGGTATAAATTAAATTATTATTATTATTATTATTATTATTATTATTATTATTATTATATTAAAAATATTATTATTATTATTATTATTATTATTATTATTATTATTATTATTATTTTTGCAGCAGGGAATTGAGATGGTACCACTCAGCCCAGTCTGCAAATTCCATGTGTTTATTCCAGTGATCAAACAGAACCTACAGCTCTGTTCTGAACTTAGGGCTGATTTATAGATGTTGAGAGCTGGGCCAGCAGGTACTGAAAATCACAGGGGAGGGGAGTGTTCTTGTTCCTGGATTCTGCTTACGGGTTTCTTACAAGCATCTATTTGGTCACTGTGAGAACAGAATGCTGAACTAGATGGGCCACTGTCGTGATCCACTATCTTATGTTCTTGTGTGAGGGAATGCCATCAGACGTCAGATAATTCCATCCGAAATGGAAATGGGAGCAGAAATGGCCACAATTTACATGCTCATCTGAGGTCAGAAACAGAAATCAATGGGAGCGAATTCGAGCGGTATTCGCCACCATTGCATTTAGAATCTGCTAATGTTATGTAAAATTATGTTATTTTCTGTTTTGTTTTTGACATTTCCCCTCCATTGAAATGGACTACATTATTAATTATGTTAATTTTGGCCGCAGCGGATAGTGAGACGAATAATGTATGTTTTAGTGGAAGCCGAACTGCAGCAGAATGGGAACAGCGCTGCTTGAGATGAACACAGGACGGGATGTAAATCGCTGTCTCCCTACTTCCCTATCAACAGGCACAATCCTTCTCCCCTTTATATGCACTGATTATGTGTGTGATTATTGTGTGAAAAGAGTAACAGGGGGCACATTTTTGATGGGTGAGAGCCTCGCACACAGTGTGAGGAATGAGAAGCATGAGTTTAAGGAGAGGAATTCCTGCCAGGCTCCAGAAGCATGTAAATGGGGTTCATATGCACCACAGAGGGCAGAGAGGAAGAATTTTTTAATGATTAAAAACCGAGAACAAAATGTCTCAAGAGCAGGAAATGGATATAATAACAAAATTAAATTGCTCCCACATTGATGTATCAGGCTTTATGAAATGGATCACATTTTCGCCTCAGAGGAAATAAAGCATCGATTGGTTTGCAAACACGCCGCCTGTCTTTTCAATAGTAAAAGGATCAAGTTGGCAAATTAAAGAAAAATATTAAATGCACAGTTTCGAGAAATGCACAGGGGAATTCATTCCTTTTCCGGAAGGCTCAAGTTCAGACAAGCAAGCATGGGAGACTGCATGACTGTGATTGCAAATGTGCCACAGCTATTGCTGCGGAATCTGGGGCTGTTTCTATTATTCTTAATTTAAAAACATGTTTCTAGGCCAGATTGGTGGCAAAGAAAATTGTGGTACTGCTAAATATTTGCTAAATACAGTTGCAGTGCCTGCTTAGGGAGTTATCCTGTACTTCTGGCAAAGCCCTGATTCTCCACTCCCTGTTGGCACCTGTGTGAGCTGTACCACTTGCTGATTTCTTCCTTCTCCCTCCCTGTGGTGATACTTCCACGCATGGCCACTGAACACACATGGGGGAATATTGGCACTCTTGAAGGGCAGTGGATTGCACCTATTGGTCCTGTCCAGGGGCTCATGCTTATGCATCCCAATTCTCATGGACCCCCGAGAATGCAATCTGTACCGCGCAAGAACAGAGAGTACAGGTACTTTATTACATCCACACCCCACCTTTCCAGGTGGAATGTCCACGGTATCATGTGTGCAAGAAAAGACAGAGATCTGCTGAATGAGGCCAAAGATCCTTCTGGTCTCACACTTTGCTCCCTGGAGAAAACAAGTCATAACTCATTGGATGTTGAACTTGTTGAATGGAAGTAATGGATGTTGACCTTTTGGAACACCTATTTAAAGAGCATAACTCATTCACAAAGTCTCCAGTGCCCCTAGGTTTGGGGGTGGGGTTCAGGTTTCATAGCTCTGCCACCATTATTAGGTTTCTCGTGTGCTCATGTCTCTTAGGAGCTCTGTGACTTCTACCTCCCTGTGTTTGAAGGCCATCACTACACGAAGCAACCCATTCCCCTCTTTGCTACTTTGCAATGTGTATGTTGCGTATATGGTTTTGATTTGCTGTTAAAATGGGATTTTATTGCTTGATTTGATTTCAGATAGGCTTGCTTTATGCTAGGCAATCTGTTGGAAAGTCGGAATAGAAGTGCTGCGATTAAGCAAGCAAATAAATGAATAACACTGCGTGACATTTCAGAGTACGCAGGAATTTTCAGGCGCATGGTGCAGTTCTACTGCTGAAGCCAAGTAGGTTCAGCCTTGGATGGTAGACCACCTGGAAATGATGGCTGAGGTTCAAAGGACTATCCAGGGACTTGGGCATGAAAACTTCAATTTTTAGTATTTTCTATTGACCTTGACTATGAATTTAAGACTCTGTTGATGAATGTCTTGGTTAACAGAGCTCTATACAGCTCCCTCCCTGGGCTCTCAATAAAGACCTGCTTCAGGGTTTCTGCTAGGCTAAGGGGTGAGTGGGTTGGTGTTAAGTGGACATTGTTCATTGAATTCACCATTCTTGAAAACAAATGCACCCTTGGAGCAGCAGGACGTCTACAACATGCCACACACTGCTCTGGAAATTTGTCTCAGTCCCAAAAGACTTTTTTCACGCAGCATGGAGAACAAATGTTTGAATGTTTCATATCTAAAGTTCCCTTGGTGTGTACAGAACTAGCATTGGAGATCTTCGGATCAAGGCCCATATTATAAGTCTCGTTGGAGGATAATTTTGGGAGAATATCGGAGTGTACTTGTAATATATGATAATAAACAACTGTTTGCCACATAGAAACCTACAACTGTTTTGGTGCTAGGTTAAAAACCTTGGGTTGTATCCAAAGTAGTGCTATACAACTTGTTCTGTTAGTGCAAGAATTTCTGCTTGCACAATGGAACTTTGGAACTTCTCCCCTCTGTGAGCTCCCTAAATCTGCGCTAGCCTCCGAAGCAGATTTAGGGCAGGCATGTGTTGTGTGTGTGTGTGTGTGTGTGTGTGTGTGTGATGTTCTGTTACACAAGTGTAAATTTTTGCACTTATGGAATGAGTGCATTGGGTATTGCCCCTAATTTATCCAAGCATTTTAAGCACTGATTATGGTACTGGTCTGCTCTATTGTTTTAAGTGTGGTAAAATATACTTTCTTTCATGAATTTGTTCTTATTGTACTCTTTCTTGGTGGGCAAAATTCAGCAAAAGCATCCCACCAGTGCAAGCCCACACAAGGATTTCTGCAAGTGCAACATGGTTTTCCTGTTCTCTTTCCCTCATGTACCCCCAATTGGCTATGAGGAAGGTCTGGAGAACCCCTGGAACAGCCTGCAAGGGAAGGGAAGGGCAGATCATTCCATCAGGTGAGTTCCGGGAATTATCTGCTTAGCACTACGTTGAATTCCTTCTGGTACGCTTAGCTCAGCAATGCCCATTTTACACTATGTGCTAGTATCTTTAAGGGTTAAGGAGGGTCCAAAAATATTTCCCCAGTGCAACCCTAGGCACAGTTAAAGGTAAAGGTAAAGGGACCCCTGACCATTAGGTCCAGTCGTGACCACCTCTGGGGTTGCGGCGCTCAACTCGCTTTATTGGACGAGGGAGCCGGCGTACAGCTTCCAGGTCATGTGGCCAGCATGACTAAGCCACTTCTGGTGAACCAGAGAAATGCCGTTTACCTTCCTGCAGGAGCGGTACCTATTTATCTACTTGCACTTTGACGTCCTTTTGAACTGCTAGGTTGGCAGGAACAGAGACCGAGCAACAGGAGCTCACCCCGTTGCGGGGATTCGAACCGCCGACCTTCTGATCGGCAAGTCCTAGGCTCTGTGGTTTAACCCACAGCGCCACCCACGTCCCTAGGCACAGTTACTGGGGAGTAAATCCCAAATAAATAAACTGGAACTTACATCTGAACAGACATGCTTAGGATCTTGCTGTTAACGACTAAAATAGTAACAATTTTTTGGGAGCTATCGGCAAAAATTGGCAGGCCCCGTTTCATGCACACATGCATCTAATTTTGAACTCTGTGTAAGTTAATTGCATCGGTAGCCTTTGCGGGCTATACGAGCCTCCAGCAGCCGTCCTGGGAAGCCTTCAAGAATGTACCTCATTAATAAAGTCCCCGATGTCCCCAGGATGGGGGATTACAGGTCTTATAGGATACTGGGGCTCAGCAACAACTGGTCTCTCGTCTACCCGTCTGACTCCGTTTGCCTTGTTCAAGACGTGATCCATACTCTCTGGCTGCTGAAGTTGACTTAAATCATAATCCTGTAACAAATGGAGAAGCAGAGAGTGAGGCTCAGGCGGCTTTTCACTGAAAACCCTTCAAGTGCCTCTATGCTGCAGAGGTCTGTAAATAACCTCACTGGCTCAAGTTCAACTGGAATTGAGGCAGAACCATTCCACCATGTGGCATTCAGCATTGATGCCTGCACCTATTTAAACATACGTGACTCATGTGATATTGATTGCTTGCTGGAGGCAGCTGAACAGTGCTCCAAGGCACATTGGGGAGTTAAAGACAATCTAGCATTGCCCTTTAATAATCAGTTATTCAGCTCATATTTGGACACCTGACAGCAAAGATCTCAGAGTGAGTTGAGGAGAGGAACAGAGTCCAATGTACCTGTTTTGCTACCTTATAGGCTTTAGGGTTGAGTTAGCCTTCCAAGTTCTGATCTGCAGTTTATTTAGAATAGCCACACTGACTTCCCAGATTGTCGTTGGACTCTGCAATCCCTTACACTCTTTACTCAGCAATCAACCCCGTTAAGTTCAGTAAAGCTTGCTACCAGGTAAGCAGGTATAGGATTGCATCCCAAGTAAAATAAAACCAGATTGCAAATTAAGTGCAAACTGGCATGGCAGGTTACAGAAAACTGGCTCTGGGGAGGGCTGTATGTCAACTATGAATGTTGTGTTATACAGAGCATTGAGCAGCCCTGAACTCATGTTTGACCCTTTTTTGGATTGGGCATGGATTCCGTAAAGTATGGAGTGCTGAAACCTCAGAATCCAGCAAAAACCAGTTTGCAAGCATTTCAAATAGGGTGCCCTCAGCAGCATATGGAAGTTCACGAATTGCAGCACAACCAAGTCTTGTCTTGGGGCTGATGTTCAAGTACCAGTCGAGGGATGGGGCAGAAAGTCAGTTCAGCTTGAGTTTTAAAGTGGACCTACTTAATTCACACTCCCTGAAACAAGCCATGAATCGAAACAAAGCTATTATTAAAAATTCACACTTCTGCGAATCTTGTGGCAAAATTCTCCAGCAAAATAATGTGCACATTAAGGTCAAGTGCGCACATAAATGCATATATTAGTGAAAGTAACATACAAAAAGCCATTGTGTTAGGGAAAAATGTGTATATTGGGGGGAATTAAGGCAAATCTGTGTCTATTGGGAGAAATTCACATGGAAAGACCAGTGAATTTTCACAAGGACCTTAAAAACAACAGCCAGGAACTGATGCAGAAATGTGGAAAACTAAACTTCGGAAAAATGAGAAACTAGTAAAAACCAAAATTGCCAGGCTTGTCCATCCCTAAATACATGTGGCAGCCATGGAGTTGTTACAGAGTGGTCTAAACTGTGAGTCTACATGTAGGAAGCTGGACCATGAAGATGCTCTCCTCACCTGGTCTTCTTCTCCACCTCCTTCCTCATCATACTTCAGAATATTATCCCGGACATCATCCTCAGGGTCGATGAGAAGCTGTTTTGTGTGACGCTCCTTTTCCCTGCGCTTCATCCACACCACAAACAGCAAAACCATGGCTGCAGGGAGAAACAGGAACACAATGGAAGAGACGCAGCTGAGTGAGATGATTAACTGTCCCCCATGGGCTAGCAACTCAGCCACAAGGAGGGCATTAAAAGTGCCCTCGCCTTTTCTCTATAATTGATGATTATAGAGGTGATGGTATGTCTGGGAGTGGAGCTGCAAAACTCAAAACAGTTGGAGGAAATAAATGCCCCCCTCTTGTGCTATTAGGAGCCATGTTTATTAAGCCAGAGTTAAGGGTTGAGGTCACTGTAAATAGTTCCATCACCTGAACACGGAATACCATCAAGGTGCATATTTCAGCTAAACAAGATGGGAACAAACTGTATAGCTCCTTGCTTTTAGCGCATCACACAGCACAGTCTGAAATGAGAGATAACGACTTCCTGGTTAGCTATGAGGTGCTCATGTTAACCTGTGCTGCAGCTTAGATACTTCTATATTATGTGATTTTTTTTAAATTTTCAATTGACAGCAGCCTACTTCATCAGAGGCAGGAAGTAGACTGACATGGTAGTGGGTTGGGGGTTCATGAAGAAATGATGAGATGCTCAAGTTCATGGGAATGCCAAAGAGAAACTTCTGAAGAGCTGGAGACCTGGACAAAAATATTACATGTAACCCAGTTTTCTGCTGCTGCATGAAAACTGTCTTAGGGAACACCTATACCAACAACACAACAACAACAAATACATTATTATTATACCCCATCCATCTGGCTGGGTACCTACATGAAAGACCACCTGCCTGCAAGATCACTTGAATCATCTGGGGAAATTCTGCTCATGGCACCACACCCTACAGAATATCACAAGGGGCTTTTTCTGCTCTTTCCTTGTACTGTGGAATGCCTCTCCCTGTGCGTCACGTGAAAGAGCAACCATCAGTTGCTACAGATGTATCTCTTTGCCAAGGCTTTCCCTGACCCGTAAGATCAGACCCTGTTCATCATTATCGGAATTCCTGTTTTTCGTTTGTTTAGTAATATGATTTTATACTCTCGTGGATGACGGGCTTTGTGTTGTATTTTTGTTTTAATGCCATTAAATGTTGAACAGAACTTGGAGATGTTTAAAACATTAAGCAATTTATAAAGGCTTTAAAAAGAGACAGGTAAATATGTCTTGGGGACACTGAGAAACAGGTTTGGGTATCATGGTCCTTGTGCCAGTGCTTAGCAATACCCAAAGCACCCAATACCTAAAACTCTCTTTGCTAGACTCTAGAGCAGGGGTTGCCAACATGGTGCCATCCAGATGTTGTCAGACTCCAATTCCCACCAGCCCCAGTCAGCATGGTTTCCATGCCTGAGGGATGGAATGAGATCTGTAGTCCAACTACAGGATGAGATCTGTAGTCCAACCACACCTGGAGGGCAAGCCACTTGCCACCTTCCTAGAGGGCATGGAAACACCTTGAGATGTTCTTCCAAAGAAAACCCAGCTGTCCATTTTGTTGACTTCAATCTGTAAAGGGATATCATTTGCTTACGAAGGCATTCCAGGGCAATTTAACTCCACCGTGATTCCTGGGACGGTGTTTAAAATCTAGCTGTACGACAGATATGCTGGATTTCATTTTAAATTAATAGTTGTTGCTTGCCGCTTTGATTGCTCTGGGAATTTCTACTGCGGCATTCCTATTACGGTGTTGTTACCAGCGTGGCATGTTGCTTTGCGGCACGGAATGTGATGTACACTTCAAAAATGAAAGAAATGTAAATATTAAGCTGTTACTGGCCTGACTAAGCAACAATGTTGAGGGGGAAAACCAAATGGCGTTCTATCGCTTTCCGTAGGTTGATAAGCACCCTTATTAGTCAGCTTGATTAATGAGCTTTTCCTGATCAATTATATTTGATTAAATTATACACATTTGATACGATCCTTCCTCATGTACATTGTGCTTGCAAGAGTATCCCCGTATGGCTGAACAAAGTCCTATATTTCTCCACTTCTTCCTGCCTAAGTGCAGAACCTTACATTTGTCCCTACTGACATTCATTTTGTTAGCTTGCACCCAGTTCTCCAATCTGTTAAATTCATTCTGAATTGTGATTTTGTTTTCTGCGGCATTAGCTACCCCTACTAGTTTGGTGTCATCTGCAAATTTGATGAGCATCTCCTCAATTCCTTCATCCAATTCATTTATAAAGACGTTGAACAACAACGGGTCCAGGACATAACATCATGCCATCTAGTCCAACCCTTTGCATTGCAGGAATCTCAGCTAAAGCACCCATGACAGATGGGACCACAGTGTCTCTCTCCCTGGGACCAAGGCAGCCACAAGCAAAGCATTTCACCCAAAAGAAATGTGGCCATTTTGGAAAAGAATTGTTTCCGTTCTCAAATGCACCCAAAGAGGCACACGAACATGTTAAAACCAGCCACGAGGCCAGCTATTTCTATAGGCTGCTTCCCCTCCCCACCCCCACCCGCTTGGCCCTACTCTCTGGAAAGAATAAATCCTTTTGAATTTGCAAGTTGTTGCAGCTGGGCTAATTTCATTTTAATGATGTGCGATTCTCTCAGAAGGAATGCAACAGAGGCTGGATAAAACATTAGCTCGCATAATCAAATTTGGACTTATTCTCCTCCTCTTTATGGGCTTTCTATATTTCCGAAATCACATTAACAAATGCACTGTGATACTCTTTCAGCTGCTCTACTTGGAAAGCAGATCTGAGCGTCTTTGAACTCTTTACTGAAAAGTGCTGGTGGGTTTTGCTGAAGGAGAGAAAGCAAATCGAGGAACTGCAGATCTGGTTTGGGCCAGCCTAGATAAACTTCCCTCTCTTCTCTTTGCTTGAAGAGGAGCTTAGTGAAATTAAAAGTGTTGACTGCTGCTTTCGCCATCAGAAGTTGTCCTACCCATTTCCTACCCGCCTGGGAAAATGGCCACAATTAGTATGCAGAGCCAACGCAGTGTCAAGGTTGGAGAATTGGACTATGGCTGGGGAATGTCCAGGGTTAAATTCCTCCACCGCCATGAAGCACATTGGGTCTTTGTGTGCTCAACACTATAAGGCAGCTATGGAGACTGGTCTGTAACAGTACACGGAATGCTCTGTACAGTGTAGTGTCAGAAAACGCTTCAGCAGTACTATCTACCTGGTAGCGTGCTGGGCCCATAACCCATGAACCTCAACCAGCCCTCGTCTTGCTACAGACCCCCCAGTCCAGGGGGTTCTGCCACTTGCCAGTTTCCTCCTCTTAGTTTCAGTGCCACCTTAATAGGACACAGCAGTCGGAAGGATGGGGACCAAACTAGAATTAGTAGTCTCTGCCTTCAATGGATTCTGGCTCTACCTACTATTGGTCTCCTTGCCTCCCACCCTATCAGTCCCAATGGGGAGCAGCCATTGAGCGGTGGGGAACCTCTGCTCTGTAAATGGCCTTCCAGGCCTCTCTAACTGACGTTCTGGGCTCTTCCCAGGCCACACCATTCTTGAGTGCTTTTGCCTGGCTGGAATTTGTCCTTGAACTATGATAAGGTTTCTTACTTGCCTTGAAGGAGGATGGAGAGGTATGTGTGGGTATAGAAAGCTCTGACTTTTGCATGGCTGAAATGTAACCAACCATACAAAGGTGAGAGTTATTTTGCTCTGCCCACTTCTACATCAGACCCCATAGCAGCTGACCCCCGTAGGGATGCTTGCAAGGGAATGGGGCCATTAGGCTGAAACACAGGTCCCCAGTATCTGCAATAAGGTCATACTCCTATATGCTGGTCTTGAGGTTTTGCCATGGATAATTGCCTGGGTGCTAAAATGCTACGGAACGGCATTGAGGGAGACTTTATTTCAGAATAATGAGGAATTATTAAGTATTTATGCTAAGGGAGCTCAATTGGAATAGGAGTGTGTGCTGTCATCTTGGGTATGCCTCTAGCCAACAGGTTTGGAGGTTTGCTTAATATTGTTCCCACACCTTGCAAATGCAGAGACGGCGGAAGCGTAATGAGAAATCTCCCCCAGGCTCAGACTGGCTTGGCCTGGGAAGAAGCCAAGCTCCTTCGCGCTCACCCAGCCCTGCTAATCAGGAAATGGTTCAGCTTGTTTCTGAATGAATTGGAATGAGGCTGTGTAAACGACATACATTAAAAGCATATGGCACACTCCCCAAGAATCCTGGGAGCAAGAAGTTTGCTAAGGCTGCTGGAAATTATTACTGTACAGTGGTACCTCGAGTTAAGTACTTAATCCGTTCCGGAGGTCCGTACTTAACCTGAAACTGTTCTTAACCTGAAGCACCACTTTAGCTAATGGGGCCTCCTGCTGCCGCCGCGCCACCGGAGCACGATTTCTGTCCTCATCCTGAAGCAAAGTTCTTAACCTGAAGCACTATTTCTGGGTTAGCGGAGTCTGTAACCTGAAGCGTATGTAACCTGAAGCGTATGTAACCTGAAGCGTATGTAACCCGAGGTACCACTGTATTATTATGTGGGGTGTGTGGGGTGTCAGAGGAGTGGTATTATCTCTGGTAGGGGGCATATCATGCTCCTTCTGGGGTAGCAGCAACCAGGAAGGAAGGAAGGAGGAAGGAGGAGAAGAAGAAGAGTTTGGATTTGATATCCCGCCTTTCACTCCCTTTAAGGAGTCTCAAAGCGGCCAACATTCTCCTTTCCCTTCCTCCCCCACAACAAACACTCTGTGAGGTGAGTGGGACTGAGAGACTGCAAAGAAGTGTGACTGGCCCAAGGTCACCCAGCAGCTGCATGTGGAGGGGCGGAGACGCGAACCCGGTTCCCCAGAGTACGAGACTACCGCTCTTAACCACTACACCACACTGGCTCTCCTCTCTTTCTGGAGGAAAGGAAGTGTGTCCCCACTTCCAGTTACACAAAATGCCAGGCACAAGTAACATGTGGGAAACACAGTTTCCCCAGGAGCAACTGAAATGGCAAGGGAATATTTCATAGAATCATAGAGTTGGAAGAGACCACAAGGGCCATCGAGTCCAACCCCCTGCCAAGCAGGAAACATTTCCGA